AATATACGTTAATTTAAATAAACAAACAATTATATAGTTTTAAAACATTATATATATATATATATATTAAAATTTTAAAATTATTAAATTTTTAATGAGAAAGACTAAAATTCCACAATTATGATATTTGAGAGATTAAAATTGTTCAATTAAAAATTGTGAGACTAAAATTACACAATTATAATCTTTTAAGGACTGAAATTACTCAATTAAAACCTTAGAGATCAAAATTGCATAATTATAATATCAAAAACACAATTAAGTAAAGAATATTTTATTCACAGTTCTGGAACGGGCCGTTCTGAAACCAGAACGGCCCGTTCTGATTTCAGAACGGCCCGTTCTGCTTCACTGGTGGTGTTTTAATTTTGCAACCAGAACGGCCCGTTCCGGTTTCAGAACGGGCCGTTCCGGGTCCAGGTGTATTAAAAAGAATTTTCTCATCCACGTGGATGCCATGTATGCATCTACGTGGCATCCACTTGGCCAAAAGTTAATTCGGTTTAAATAATTTGGACGGAAGTCCCACATTGAAATTAATTAATTAATTTGGGACTAAATTGAAACCAATTAATTAATTTGGGATCAATTTGAGACCAAAAATTAATGAAGGACTAAATTGAAACAAAAAAAAATTATAAGGGACCAAAATAGGATTTTAACCTTAAAATTATTTTAATTTTTCCACGGCCAACTTGTCAGGACACGTGTCCTGAAATTAACACCCGCACAAAGTCACATAAGTTTCTCTTATTTATTTATTTATTTATTTATTTTAACGTTTTTTTTTACTATTTTAGTTGACGGAAAAAAAAATTTCAATGCTTCAATTGATAGAATTTGACCACATTATTATTATTATAAGAGAGGAGGACCTATTTTTAAAGTAATATTATTTAGATTTATTTTATTTGATAATTTTAATTTTATATTAAATTTTATTAATTTAATTATAAATTTAACTTTTTTTAATATATAAAATAAGTTTATAAAATTTTAAAATTATTTAATATTTTATTTTATTAATTTAAATTGACAGATAATTATTAAAATATTTTATAATTTATTTGAATTAATGACATAAAATATTAAATATTTTTTAAAATTTTAAAAAATTTATACATTTAATTTATGTATTAAAAAAATTTAATTCAATAATTAAATTCTTAAAATAATCTATTCTAAAAATAAAAATAAATTTAATTTTAAAATAAATAAATCTCTCGTATTTATATTAAGTAATGATTGAATAACATTAAAATAAAAATACCATATTAATAGTATGTAATAAAATATCTTATATCTCTAGTGGGAGTGGGAGCATCTAAGGTGTCTCCGTTGCAGAACCACACTTTTGGGTGATGAAGAGGCTAAAGACAAGGGCAACATATTCTCTACTAAACTGAAGGTGATATCTCCATCTTCTCAACTCCTACATGTCCATTCCTTAATCTTTTTCTGTCTTCCATGATCCTATCATACTTGGATCTAGTTATGTTAATGCTCATACTTTGCTCTTGTTATGTCAATGCTCCCCTAATTTATTTTATATCTAATTTTCCTGTTTTCCTTTTCGGATTTCACGCTTTGGACTAATTCCTCGCTATAGAATCATACATTAGTTTCTTAAGATTTTTTGAACACACATCATTTCTTCTAAAGTCAACGCCAGTCTTCTTCCGACATTGTAGGGATTTACTTTGCAATTGAAGTAGTAACAAGCTCAAAAGTACACCAAGACTGGATTTTTATGGTTACTGGAACATGGATCGGAGGAATATATTATAGATTTAACTTTATATACTAAAGTTCAACTGCTTTCAAGATCATCTCCCCTTTTTACTTCTTATAACTGCTTTTCAACCTTAAGTTTATCCTTTCCAATTTTAGCCTGTTTCTGTACTTCAAGTTTAAATATTTTAGTTGTGTCCGGTTTTATTTAATCCCGTTTTGCAATTTGAAATGGCAAATGAGGGTAAGTAGGAAAATGTTTCTTTGATAACCAAATACCAAGAATTCATGTATTAGAGTAAAACCATTTGGTTTGCAAAATCTTGTGACAATTTACCTAATTGGTACATTGTTTGATTTCCTTCCATCTATTTTAGTTGTAGCAGAAGACCTGTTTTATAAGAGTGAAGCATCTGTGTCAAAATGTAATGCTTAGCATATATTAAAACAATTTTTAACTCGAGATTTTTTTTTTTTCTTGAAGGAAACAGAATAATCAAGATGGTTGAGGCAGTTGTCTCCTTTACAGTTGAAAGGCTCTACGAACTTCTGATTGAAGAGGTCAGATTGTTAAATGGGGTGAGTGACAAAGTCAGGGACATGCAAAATGAACTAATGAGGATGCAATGCTTCTTAAGCGATGCTGAGAGAAGGCAGGATGAGAGTGAGAGTATTAAGAATTTGATTTCAGAGATCAGAAAATTAGCTTATGATGCAGAGGATGTGATTGAAATTTATGCCGTCAAAGTTGCATTTGACATAAGTATTGGAACTAAAAATCCACTCTCCAAAGCTAAACATCTTCGCAAAGCCGGATCTGATCTCATGACAATAAATTCTCGAATAATTGACCTCACAAGAAGTTTACAAACTTATGGTTTGACTGCAACAAGAGTCAATGAAGAGAATCGCTTTGCATTTGAGACGCAACGACAATTGAGATGGTCTTATTCTCATATAGTTGAAGAGTTCATTGTTGGCTTAGATGAAGACATAAACAAAGTGGTGAAATGGCTAGTAAATGAAAATCAGCATTGTCGAGTTGTTTATATTTGTGGAATGGGTGGTCTTGGTAAAACTACTCTTGCCAAAAGCATTTATCATTACAATGATATTAGGCGAAACTTTGATGCTTTTGCTTGGGCCTATATATCCCAACAATGCAAGAAAAGAGATGTCTGGGAGGGAATTTTACTGAAGCTTACTTCCCCTTCCAAAGAGGAAAGGGATGAGATTTTGAAATTGAAAGATGATGAATTGGCAAGGAAATTATTTAAAGTCCAACAAGATAAAAAATGTTTAATCATCCTGGATGACATATGGAGCAATGAAGATTGGGACATTCTAAGTCCAGCTTTTCCATCAGAAAATACAAGGAGTAAGATTGTGTTTACATCCCGCAACAAAGACATTTTGCGTGTAGATCCTAATGGCTTGCTTCACGAACCTAGATGCTTAAATGCAAAGGATAGTTGGGCATTGTTTCACAAGAAAGCTTTTCCAAGACAATATAATTCAGGTACCTACAAATGTCTTCTTTGAGCAACCTCATTTAACCTAGAAATATATACATAATTTGTGTCATTATTTCATCTTTTTATCTCCTGTCTCTCATTTGTCTTTCATATTTATTAGTTATTAGTTTCTTTCAACTTTGTTAGTTATTATTTTAAGCGCGTATTTCATCTAAAAGAAGTGTTTCTCTTTTTTAGGAAGCATAAAAAAATGGGTCTTATGTTTTTTTTTTTTTTTTAATTTTAATTGGCTATATAATAAGTGATACTTCAGGTGTTTCTAAGTCTAAGGAATAGCAAAACCATGTTGAAGCCATATGTTGTAAGTAGATGTTCACCTTTGTGCACTGGTAAAGAAATGTATATTTTGTATTTTAAAGAGATTAAAATTATATTAAATTATTATATTTAATAAATATTAAAAAATTGAAATAGGAAATATATAATAATTATATATCAGATACATATATATGTTTGTGACAAATTATGAGAAGATTGGTTAGACATTAAATTTTGTTGTAATATTTTAGTTTTTTTGAGTCCACGGTGTCATTAAGAAAAAAATAGGTTATATTTTTGTTTTAGATTTTTACTACATTGATTTTGAAATACTACTCAATTATAAGATGTATAGAAGGATATTTGAAATTAAAAATATAAAATTAATAAAGATGCTACAAATAAAAAAAATAACAATGAACATATAATGCTAAAATTAATGTCTTGAAATCTAGTAGTCAGAGAATACATTTTAATTCATATTTTGCAATTTTGCAATTCTCTTTCCAAATCAATTCGTAAATAATTCAATTAAAAAATAAAAAATTATGTAATTCTTATAATATAAGATTTTTTTTGCACATTTTTTAAAATTATTTAATTCAAACTATTACATGTTTTGTGTGTGAAATTTGATGATCTTTTCTAAATTAACTTGTAAATAAAAGTAAAAAAGAAAATTTAGAGAAGAAAAAATTATAATAAAAGATGATATTAATTATCAAACTTACTTTTAATCATTTTTTATAAAATAAAATTCTTTTCGCAGACTTAATTATCTAATAAATGACTTTAACTAACATTTGTTTTTTTTTAAAAAAAAAATTAAGAAGAAAGGTTACAATTAACTCTTCTTTCATAAAAAAAATTGAATAAATAGTATAATGTACCAGGAAATATCATAATGATATGATAATATTTTGTTTCATAACTTACAGTGTATAAATATAAATTATATATATAAATAAGTATTTATTTCATTTATAATTAATAATAATTACTTATTATTCATCTATATATATATATATATAATAACTAATTAAATATAACTTTCAATTATTGGTTATTTAATACTAATTAGTTATAAAAATATTACTTAATATATTTTTCACAATTATAATCTTATAAAAAACCAACTTTTAATTAACTAAAAATTTTAAATAAAAATACATATTTTAACTCTTTAAGAGGAAAAATAATTAAAAAAAAGTGATGCAAGATGAGAATAAAAAAAAAGAATATAAAAGATTGTAAAATATACATGTTTTGACTAAAGATATGAAAAAATAAGTTTGATTAGAATTTTAACAATTCATTGAATTTCGACTTATTTTTTCCTTTAGAACAATGGAAAAGAAAATAGAAATAATCATGTTAACTACTCTCAATTTCTAAAATTCACGTAATCTGCATTGTTAAAAACTGTGAAAAGAAAAAAAGAAAAGAAAGTTTCATATAGAAATCAAAACAAAACATACCAAAAAAATAATTGATTTCATAATAGAAAATTATTGTGTTGTTAGTTTGTGAGAAGGGTTATCAAATCTTAAATTATGTGAGAGCACTACAAGAAAATTGTCATATAGTGACACACATCCTTTAATAACACAATATGTGTCATTAAAAATTACTTTTACTTACACAATAAATGCAATATATGTTGGTATAATGTTAAAAAGTGTGGGTATAAACTATAGTGATATACAAAATATATTGTTAAATCTCATTCAAAATAACACTAAAATTATGTGTAATTATATATCAAATAGATATATCCTATATATATTATATATATTAAATAGATATTTTGTAGTGGAGGAAACAATTTAAGAATATACTTAGAAAAAAAAAACTACTTCATACCTATTTGACAACTCTCTCAATTTCTTGATTATACTTATGTTTGTACTATTAAAAATCACAATTATATAACCTCTATCAGATTCTCATTTAAAAGTGGGTTGTGTATGCCTACTCTTTTAGAGATAAAAGAATTAAGAAAAAAGTGATGTGATAAGAGAATAGAAGATAACGAAATAAGATTGTGAAACATACATGTTTTGATGAAGGAAATGAAAAAAATAGGTCTTATAGGAATTTCAAAGAATTCATTGATTTTCAGTCACATTTGATTTTATAGAAAATAGAGATTCAATCAAAACAAATCATCAAAAAATCTATTTCACAGTAAAGGAACATTGTTTTGCTAGTTTGCAATTGCAAATCAAGTTATCAAATCCCAAATTATGTGAGTGAAAACAAATTAAAAATATAGTGAAAAAAAAAACTTTAGAACATTGTTTTGCTAGTTTCCAAAACAGGCTATCCAGTAGAAACGGATTAAGAATATAATGAAAAAATAAAAAAAATAACAGATTAACTCTTATGTTAACTTTCTTAATTTCTTGATTCTTCTTATGTTTGTGCTATTGAAAATCACAATTGTAGAGTCTCTATTGAATTCTTATATAGAGGTAGGTTGTATAGAATATTTAGAAGTCAAGACTTGTAAATAGAAGACAAAATTGTAGTAAAATTGACATGTTTGTCACATTAAAAGTCGTAATTGGTGAGCCTCTCGGATTTTCGTATAAAGGGGATTGAATACAACATTATAGTGAGAGTTGTAAATGAAATGCAAAATTGTAGTGAAATGTAAGTGACAGAGGAGCAGCCGCCACTTGTAAGCAACAAAGGAGAGACTGTCACAATTTTGACTTCAATAAAGAAGACGTGGCTAGTGAAGATTTGGAGGATTTGTGGGATGGGCATGGAAGGAGTGGATAGGTGGTGAGGGACAATGGAGGCAACAAAGTGTGGTCGTTGCAAGTGGAGAAGCTTTGGATGTTCTTAACGGGAGACCTATTGGAAAAGTAAATTCAAATATTTAGAGTTTATGGATATAGAGATATAAGATTTGTTTTGAAAATATATTAGAATAAGAAATATACTATAGAATGATATGTAAGTATTTTTGCAAATATGACAATGTTTTACATATATTTTAGATTAACAGATGAAATACATAATAGTTCAACTTTTATATTATAAATAAATATAAAATTCAAAAGGAAATTTTAGTGTTGAGAAAACATACAGTGTCCTGCTTTCATATGAAACTAGATATTGTCTGTGTTGTGCGGATGGATAAATTAAATTATTTTGCATTTTATTTAATTAAAAACTATTTTTTGTTTTATATTCTAAAAAATATATAATGATTAATTTTTTGTATGATGTTTTGTTTAAATAACTATGTGTATGTTTAAATATAAATGATTTAGTAAAATCTTTACCGTAAAATATATGATTAACTCTTATATTTGTTTCCTCAAAAAAAAAAACTCTTATATTTATAAATTGTAATGGATGAATCTTTAAGCTAATACATTGAAAATTAATTCTAATCATTTATGAGCAAAAATTGTAAGACTCGTAACATGATGGATAAAGATAAGCCAAAAGTACTCTGATCTTTTATGGAATAACAAATAATTTAAATATAGTAACTCAAATAATTAAGATGACTTAATGTTTAAGAATTCAAATAATAGCTCAAACAATGAAGGTAGTATAAAGAAAATATAACTCAGGTAGATGAAGAAAAATAAATAAATGAAGGAGAAGGTAGCAAATCGTAATGCAATGTGAGTCTATAGTTTTTTAACTTTACATGACGCGTTAGAGTCAAAATGGTAAACAGAGGATGACATGAACTTTATGCATTTGGTCTCCTTAAAACCATTTTGCTTGTTTTGAAAAGTAAGGTATGGACCTTTTTATCGAATTGTATTTGAGAATGAGTCTTAAAAGAAGCGTTCTATGTTGTTTAACGAGTTATTTGATCAGTAATAACTCTTGTTTAAATTCAAAGCTGTATCTATACTAGTTTCTACATATCTTGAATGGAAACATAAAAATGTGTATAAATTTATTGTCTTGTTTTTCTGCATATACCTTTTAGAAAGAATTAGTGTATGTTTTTTAATGGTACCATTGTTCTATTAATGTTATAATTTTTGGCATATGGATTTTGCAGAATCCACAACTTTCGATGAGTTTAAAAGATTAGTGAAAGAAATGGTTACCAAGTGTGCTGGTCTGCCATTGGCTATCGTCGTTCTTGGAGGGCTTTTGGCTACAAAAGAGACAGTCAATGAGTGGGAAACAATACATAGGTACCTAAGTTCATACCTAATAGGAGGAGAGGTACATGAAAGGCGAAGATTAGCTGAAGTATTGGATTTAAGTTACCAGGACTTGCCTGTTCAACTGAAACCATGTTTTCTCTATTTAAGTCAATTCCCTGAAGACTCTGAGATACCAAGAACTAAACTAATTCAGTTATGGGTAGCAGAAGGTGTTGTTTCATCTCGATATGAGATTGAACGAAATGAGACAATGGAGGATGTTGCTGAACGCTACTTAAGTAACTTAATTAGCCGCTGCATGGTTCAAGTTGGTCAGATGGGGTCTACTGGTAGAATTAAAACCTGTCGGCTCCATGATTTAATGCGTGATCTGTGTTTGTCAAAGGCCAAAAAAGAAAATTTTCTCTACATTATTGGTGGATCACAACAAAATGTTACCACTGATGTTGCTTCTTTGTCTAATGTATCAGATGCAAGGCAAATTGATGTAGTTCGTAGGCTTGCTGTTTTCTTGGATCAACGTGTTGAACAATTGATTCCACAGGACAAACAAGTGAAAGAACACCTCAGGTCCCTTGTCTTTTTTCACGACAAGAAATGTAGGATGGAAAATTGGGACCTTGTCAAAGGTATTTTTGTGAGGTTCAAATTACTTAGACTTCTAGACCTTGAAGGAATTAAGGGGCTGAAGGGACAGTCATTGCCTAAAGAAGTGGGGGATCTTTTATGGTTGAAGTTTCTTAGTCTAAAAAGGACTCGTATACAAATACTGCCATCTTCCTTGGGCAATTTGGAGAATTTGCAATTCCTGAATCTGCAAACTGTAAACAAAGTGAGCTGGGATTCAACTGTGGAAATTCCAAATGTAATATGGAAGTTGAAACGGTTGAGACATCTATATCTTCCCAATTGGTGTGGGAATGTTGCTAACAACCTGCAACTGGAAAATCTGATCAATTTACAGACATTAGTGAATTTTCCTGCCAGCAAATGTGATGTGAAAGATCTATTGAAGTTGAAAAATCTCAGAAAATTAGTATTGAATGACCCAAGACATTTTGAGAAGTTTAGTGAATGTTTCAGTCCCCCTAATAAAAGGTTGGACCGCCTTCTATCCTTGTCTTTAAAGACTGACATGCTTTCCTTCCCTGATAATGTAGTTGATCTTGAAAAATTGGTGCTTGGCTGCCCTTCCCTCCATAAACTGCAGATAGAAGGGCGAATGGAAAGGTTGCCAGAAGCTTCACTGTTTCCGACACAGCTTTCAAAGTTGACTTTATGGGGTTGTAGACTTGTGCAAGATCCAATGGCAACATTAGAGAAGCTTCCTAACTTGAAGTTTCTAAATGGGTGGGATATGTTTATTGGAAAGAAAATGGTATGCTCTCAAAATGGTTTTCCTCTATTGAAGGTTCTAGTACTTCGTGGCTTGTCTAATTTAGATGAGTGGGCAATAGAGAATAAAGCCATGCCTAGTCTTCACCGATTGAGCATATCTGATTGCAACAATTTAAAGAGGGTTCCTGATGGACTTAGATTTATTGCTAGTCTTCGGGAGCTAGAAATCAGATGGATGCCAAAATCATTCAAGACCAGGCTTGGAACTACTGGAGAGGATTATCACAAAGTCCAACACGTGCCATCTATTGTATTTTTGAACTAAGGATGTAAGTTGAAAAGATTAACTACCACATTGAACTCACTTTCTCAAAATTCATTGTTATTAGCTTTCCATTGGTATGTTCTTTGAACTTTTATGCTTCTCTCTTATTATTCAATGAGAAAGGAAGTTATTTTTTTATGATTTGTTTACACAATAATTCCTGCTTACAATTTTTTGTACTTTTGCAGTGAACAAATAGGTGTTTTCCTTTACTCTTGTGCTTTCGAAGCTGAAGTTGTAAACCTGTAAAGCCTGAACTTTTAAAGGACGTACCTTTGTTTGTACCTGGTATTTGTTTGCACGGTGCCTTGATGGATTCAGTTGTATTTATTTGTTGACTTTATATTTGCAATATTTTTTGTTGAATACTTTTGAGTGAATTTCGGAACTTCTAACTCCTAGTGAGAAAAGTTTGGTGGTGGTTGTATTATTACAAACTTGTAACAAACTAACAACAATGATTTGTGTTTTCATATTGTATTTAATAATTACGATTTGTTCACACAGTACACTTCGACGAAAGGAGTACATTTTTTTTACTCGTGTACTTTATTTCATTTAACTTTCTTCTAGTAACATTTTTTTCTTATTTTAGTTTAAAAGGTTTCAGTGGGAAAAAGAATAATCGTACAAAAGTGAGTGTTGTTATTTTAAAGGAAGGAATGTATACCACAGGTGGATAAAAAAAATTATCACAAAAGAATGTATTGGGTTTTAATGTCATGAGTATGATAACATACTTGGCACTTTGCGTGAGGAATGTTAGTAGTTGAAATTTTTTTACTATCATAATTAAATATTTTAATGTTTATGTAATTTTTTATTTTAAATGTTAGTTTGGTTAAAAGTTACTTATGTTCAGAAAAAGTAGATTCTGTAGACAAGTAACGTTTACTTGTTAGTTTAGTCATATTTTGCTGTTTATTTTATCTGATTAGGGGCTAGTCAATTTTAGTATTTAAGCACTTGTTATAAACACTTTTATAGTGTGAAAAATTGAGTTTATAATTCAAATATATTGTATCAGTTTTTGTTCCTTTTTTACTTTTGATGTTGCAAATTTTCTAATATGAAACTTTATATTTTGTTGTCATATATCTCTCTTTTTCATGTTTTGTTTATAACATGGTATCAAGAGTTTTATTGATCTTTAAGGACCTGTGAGAAAACAAGGGAGAGAGGGAAAACCAGCGAAAAAATCACACAAAAAAAACTTTATACAGAAAAATGGCTTCGAGTAGTAATTCTTTACCTTCACCTTCTATATTTGCAGGTGAAAACTATCACTTTTGGACTGCAAAAATGAAGACTTATCTTAAAACTCAAAGTTTGTGGGTTATAGTGAAAAATGGAAGTAATCCATTTTCATTACCAGAAAATCCATTATACAGGCAACACTACATGATGATGTATTTATCAAGATTCTGACTCTTGAGACAACAAAAGAGACATGAGATAAACTATGGCAGGAGTTTCAAGGGAGTGAAAGAATGAAAAAAAATGCAAGTGTTGAGCTTAAGGAGAGAGTTTAAACCGTAAAAATGAAAGAAAGTGAATTTGTCAAAGATTTTACTGATAGACTTTTGAAAATTGTTACTCGAACTAGATTACTTGGTGGAAAGCTTAGTGATCAAAGTGTTGTGGAGAAAATCTTGGTGTGTCTTCTGAAGAGGTTTGAATTTAAAATATCTTATCTTGAAGAAAATAAAGTTTTTTTTTTCTTAAATATCAATTGTAGAACTTGTCAATGCTCTACTAGTTACTAAACAAAGAAGATCTTTAAGGATGGAAGAAAATACTAAAAGTGCTTTTGGGGCATACCCAAAATACAAAAAACAAGAAAAAAAAACAACATAAATGGTTTGAAAAATAAGTTTCCACCATGTCATCACTGTAAGAAGAACAATCTTACTAAAAACTTTGTGTTGGTTTAGGCCAAGCATTAAATGTAGGGCCTACAATCAGTTTGGTCATGTGAAGAAGGTTTGTAAAAATAAAACAAACCCGCCAAAACATCAAGCCCAAATTGTGGAGCATGAAGAACAACATGAGGAACATCCATTTGCTGATACGTCTTATTCAACGAGCAAAAGCAAAGAGACATGACTTATAGAGAGTAGATGCATAAATCATATGACTCATGATGATGCAATTTTCAAGAAATTAAATCGGTCCCAAATTTCCAAAGTCACCATAGGCAATGGAGAAAGTGTTGATGTCAAAGGTAAAAGAGTTGTTGCTATTGAAACTCCTTCAGGTATAGAATATATTTTAGATGTTTTATTTGTACCTGAAATAAATCCAAACCTTTTGAATGTAGGACAAATACTTGAAAAGAATTATCCTTTGTGTTTTAAAAATATGGGATGCACAATTTTGTATTCTTCTAGGTTTGAGCTTATGTTCATTAAAATGAGAGATAAAAGTTTTCCAATAATATGGGGAGGGGGGGAAAGGAATGCATGTTATTTTAAATAAAGATGAAGATTTGAAAAATGGGTCACTTAAAGAGGCACTTTAGATTCTAAAATGTGATTCAAATGGGCTCACAGTAGAAGCTGCTCATGATAAAGTGACCTTTGAAAACAACAAACTTGAAGAGAAGAAAGAAAATGAGATTTCAAAGCTTTTGAGATTTATGGAGAATCCTTTTTTTATGGTCATGGAAGCTATAACAAATTAACAATCATGGTTATGACTTTGGCCAATGGAGGAAATAATTTTTTTAATTGGAAGAATTTAGTTGGAATTATTGTATTTCTTCTTATTAACTCAATAAATTTTATGAAGAAGAACAATGTTGATAATGTTGTTGCAACTTTCATGGAAAAGGTTTTTCAAGATGAAAAGTGGATTAAGAAAATTGTAAGGATTCTTATTTCAAATGACAAAATGTTAAGCTCGGAGATGCTAAATATGTTGATAATCATCTACGTGTAGGAGATCCAACAAAGAAAGTGTAAAGGATGATAAAGATCAAAGCTTAAAGTGATGAAGAAAAGTCTCAAGGAGGAGTGTTGGCAATTGAAACTTTTTTCACTATCATAATTCAATATTTTAATATCTCTTTTTCTATTTTACTTGTAAGTTTGGTTAAAAGTTATTTATGTTCAAAAAAAGTAAATTGTGCAAGCAAGTGATGTTTACTTGTTAGCTTAATCATATTTTGTTGTTTGCTTTACCCAATCAGGGGTTAGTCAATTTTAGCATTTAAGCACTTACTATAAACACTTTCATAATGTGAAAAATTGAGTTCATAATTCAAATATATCATATCAACTTTTGTCTCTTTTTTATGTGTGATGCTATATTTTCTAATTTAAACCTCTATATTTTGTTTTATCATACATATATGTTTTTCATGTTCTGTTTACAACAAAGAAGATAGCAAAAGCAATAACAAAGTTGTATGATAGTTGACGATTTTTTCCTTAAACATCTTATTGATTAGAGCATGAATATACTTCCTTTAACTCATAGTATAACAAAACAAAACTGAGGATACCCTTTTTCTGTTGAGGTTGAAAAAGACCAAGTTTGTGCAAAAAAAAAGAAAAGGAAAAAGACAAAGGCTGTATAAGAAAGGGAAAGAAATTTTTCTAAGAATTTATTTGGATGAAAAATTTAAATGGAATAATTCATTTATTTAAATAATTTCAAATTTTTTGAGGTGAAATACTTTGTTTAGATGAAGAATTTACAAAAAATTTGAAATTCAAGCATTTGTAAAATTCTTTGAAATAGTAAAATTTCAAATTCTAAAAAAAAAAGTAAGAATTTGAAATTTCTCATTTTTTTTTTCTTATTTTACTTATATATTTTATTTTATCTTTTATCTTTTCATGTTTTTAATTATTAAATATTCAAAAATATTTTTAAAATTATTAAATATTATCTAATATTATTTTTTAAAATTATTAAATATTTAAAAATTAACTAATATTTATTTTTATAAAATTTAATTTAAAAATATTAACCTATAAATATATTTTTAAAATTAATTTTACTATGATAAAATTAAATTATCATATTCAAATTAACAATTTAGAATTTAAAAAATTTGAGTTGATTTATCTAAATAAAATATTTTAAAAATAATAAAAATAAAAATTAAAATAATTTAAATATAAAAAATTTCAAATTTGTTGAATTTATAAAATTTTTCATCAAAACACATTTTCATGAATATTTTCCAACAATCTAGTGCAATTTTGGACTTAAGAAACGAATCAACCATGTTTTCTGCATGTAACTAGTGAATAACTCGATTTATTCACAAGTTGACTACGTTCCAAATACAAATCTCGCTCTTGCTTTGCACTCACCACTTCCAATAGAACTACACCAAATGAAAACACATTTGATTTCACAGTCAAGATGCCATATGCTGCATACTTAGGATTCAGAAACTTGATTGCAACAGGGGTGGCACCTTTGTTCAAATAGCCTTTCTATACAATCCCGAATGAATTAAAATAATTTAAATTCAGAATTATTTCATTAATGTAAAATCCACACATAATAATATTTATCTAAAATAGGTTTGTCATTGGAGGTGAAGCTAGGTCAAAAGGGCAATAATGTCAGGATAGAAAAGTTCAAAAAATTTAGGGTTTATCGGATTAAGATATTTAAAAAAAAAAAATCATAATACCATGATTACTTAAACATATATTTTTTTAATAAATTTTTTTTTTATGATTTTCAATCAATATTTTTCACTAATATAAATAAGTTTTTTTTATATTTAATCAAAATAATAAATATTTTGTAAAGGAATATTTCAAAATTTGATTAAAATGTCAGTTTTAAAAAATAATAAATAGTTTTTTTTGTTAAGATAGAAAAAAATTATAAAAATGATCATAATGAAGATTAAATTTATATTCTACTCCAATCCTTCTTCACCCAATTACTAGACTAATCCTAGTGATCAAAAAATAATAAATAATTAGATAAATAATACTAATTACAATAAATAAGAATAAAAAAGCAAATTTATTGGCCAAAACCTATAACTAACCCTATAAATCAATTGATTTTTTAGATAAGATACTATATATTTGAAAGAAAAAAAATGTTAAGTATTTTATCAATTTTTTAATTTGATAAATATTAATACAAATTGTCTTGTAATTTAGTTGGAGGTTAACACCTTATTTGATTTAGTTAAAGTTACTCAAATACCTTTATCTTCATTTTTAATTAAGTTTTAAATTAAAAAAAACTTAAAATTAGGTCATTAATTTTCTACCATTTTTATAATTGAGTAAATGGAATTAATAAAATTACCGCAAGTTGTTATTTTTATAACAATTTCAAGCGGCCATAAAGACATACTAATTTTAATTAAAAACTTAGCTACAAAAGGTTGTAGAAGATCAATAATATTTTTTTAATTAGGAACTTAAAAATTTTAAAATAAAATTAAAAAAGTAGAAAAATTGAGAGTGAGTGGTGCTAAAGACCGGGTTATCACAAATTCAGGCAGTGCAAGACCTGTCTATTTTGTTAACCTAACAAAAGAATCCTTTTAGAACCTGCAAAGCCTCTGATAACTCTAACTTCTCCAGTGTTCAGACCTGTGACATTTGAAGAGTTGTGGGAAATTTTTTTTATTAAAGGCTCACAATTTGAAGTAGAATTTCACATAATAAACTTCCTAAAAACAATGGCAAAGAAATGAAACCATTGCAAACGTATTTTCATACGACTATACAAATTTATATTACACTTGAAAGAATGAAGTTTACGTCATGTACAAGCTAATGAATTACTATGTAGTGAATAAAATACACTTCAATGGCTTGTGGCCAAACTCTATTTAATCTTACGTACTCTTAAATTTGAGGAATTCTTTTGGGAGTTAACTCAAAATTCTCTGTTTGTCTTCTGTTCCGGTTAATGATCTCATATGTAATGAGAATGTGAAATCAACTGATCAATAAGGGATTGGATCGTGTGAAATATAAATGCTCCAATAGTTGAGAAGTAAAAAAATCCAATACATAAAATATGGAGTAATCAAAGTGTTAGGCCAGAAGAGAATGAGAGAATAAAAAAGTCCAACGTGTTTACTATAGAAAAAAGAAATCAAAAGAGAATAACCATTATAATCAAGTCGTGGTTAGAAGTCAGTTTAAAAGTAGTTACTGGGCATTTAAAGACAAACCTATAAATACAACTTCAGAAGTAAATGAGAACAGTTTTTGGAATTCATTAGTTAATTGACTGATTTTTTCTGTGTGAAGTAGAGGGCTCCTTGTGTAGTTCTTTTCCTATTCTTTCTGAATAAAGAGATCTATTCCAATTACTTTGTTCCAGTCTTTTTTGTTCTAGTTTTTTTTAAGGATTCCTACCAGAATATTAGAAATGCTAAGTATGTTCGAAAACGTAATTAAAATGTGGTTTTTGGACAAAGCTTTATGTTCAAGATTGGTAATTGGTGTGAGAACTTTTATACTAAATTATGACTGTGCCGTCAATCCATTTTTTTATATTGAAGTTTTGTAATATGTACAATCTATTAAAGGGTTAGATGTCTCATACCGAAACATTCTATAAATCTGAAAGACCAAAATAGCTACTCAGCCAAAAAAACACAAGATTGAATTAAAATGAGAAGTATCACATATGCCAGGTTTCTCACATGTAAAAACTTATAAGCAAAACATTATTGTTCTCTCCAACTCCAAATACAATAGAGTTATTGACATTACCAAGATATGAATTGATTATAAGGTATACAAGGCTTAAGTTCACTGGATAAAATAGTCTGAAACAAAGATATGAGAACTATTAAGCCAAGTAGAAGATAGGAATAAAACTACTAGCAAGAATTATTCTTCCAGAGCTGGATGTTACTAGTTAGAGCATTAGTAACTAACCAAGAAAACATTAAAGAGGGTATTTTTTTTATGCCATTTAAAATGAAACTCTAAAAATCTCCAAAAAAAAAAGAATGAAAGTACTGTATGAAAATTATATTAGCTCAAAGCAGTCTCATGATTTTGAATAATTTTGTCACATTATAAAACAGTTGAAAAGAAATCACAAACGCAATTACGGAAAAAATGAAGGAACAAAGTATAAATTTGCTTACTTATACTCCTATCATATACAATAGCAAATCATCTTTTTATCTAGAATCCAAACAACGAGAGAGACTGAGCAAAGATAGAGATTTTTGAGGGACTAGAGAGAGCAGCAAATTTTCTCAATTTAAACGACTTGGTAAAAGACTCAATCTGTATATAACTTGAAATTAGTAGTAAAAATAAAAAATTCTTGTAGTCTTGCCATTAAATGCTCTGTAGCACCATTAAGTATGAGACAACCTTGTATTATGTCAGTATGTGCCAAGGCTTCCTCTATCCATTGATCTGTCCTCACTCCTCATCAAAGTTGTCAGTTATTTTTTCTTTTGTAAGGTTGGCATGTATAGTTGTATATCAGTTTCTCCCAGTGTTATGGAGTCTAGATTAGACACTAAGTGGAAGAGAAAAAATAATACTGAAGCAGGAATTCCGTTATTGCTTTCAAATTTATACTAGATTACTAGTTCAAGAAAAATACAATGACAACATGAGATACAATCAAAATGCTACAAACGAGAATTGGTACAAAAGCTTGAGATATCTCAATTAAACATAACTACCAAAAAGTATACACTTACTCAGAAAGCTAAAACTCTTGATTTGAGCTCACCAATTTACCCCTGTAACATGTTCTCTAAGTCACTGACGTCTTCTAACATTCCATAACTATCTTTCTCTATGATATCTTCCTAATCCTTGCATTGGTTAATAATGGTTTTGGACAATAAGATATATTCACCATCAGTGTTTGAGATATCTGCTTGTTCCTGCAATAACAAAGCATGTCCAAGTTCCAAATCTACTTCACCCATTGTTGGTCGCTCATCTGCTTCATGCTTCAAGCATCTTTGGGTGATATCTATAAAGACTTGCCAACACTTTGTTGCAATCTGTCCTTTGATATTCGGATCAATATCCTCCTCAACAGGCTTCTCCAGATAATTTCCACTACTTGTCATGTCGAAAAGTGTTCTTCCCCACGCCACTTCCAGTAGAATCACTCCAAATGAGTAAACATCACATTTATCTGTGAGGGTACCATCCTTGAGATGCTCAGGGGCTATGTAGCCAATAGTACCTATAAGTGAAAGTGGTACCTTAGTTTAACTCACTAAAATCCATTATTTTTATTTAGTTAGTGAAAGTGGTACCTTAGTTTACCTTTAACATTCTCTAATTGAATTGGTTTGGGCCTTGATGTAAAATGTGCTCCCTTTACGCCAAGGCCAAAACCTGCGAGTTTTGGGTGCATGTTGTGATCCAAAAGAATGTTGTTAGGGTTGATGTAACGGTGAATGATGGTGCGTTTGGCTCCGGCGTGAAGGTAGTGTAGTCCACGTGCTACTCCAATGCAGATCTCTAGCCTTTTCTTCCATGACAGTTCCCCACGTTGTAGGCATTCATAGAGAGATCCGTTGGGCATGTACTCATACACAATAATCTTGTCATTTTCATGGTTGCAGAATCCTATAAGAGAGATGAAATTAGGGTGACGAAGCTGGCAGAGCAACTCTAATTCAGTCTTGAACTCTTCCCATCCTTCCACTTTGAATCGCTTCACTGCAACTGCGTAATCAGAAGCATCTTTATCATTGTGTTGAAGATATCCTTTGTATAATTTACCATATCCTCCACTTCCAATTTCTCTGTTTTGATGGAAGTTATTGGTTGATTTCCGAAGATCCGCGAGAGAAAATTGACGGCAGAGCTCTCCAATTACTATTGGATAGTTTCTCCGAGATGAATTTGTGTTGCCAAAACAATTCCAAAACATTACTACTTCCCTGTCACTTAACAAAAACATTACTCAGAGGGACATGACTTGGCACTCGAATCTTTCTTGGAGGAGAGAATGGTTCACCTGCGAAATTCAAAATGATCTGGATGAGGTGGTTATCAGTAGAACAATGAAAGATAATTGCTTTTTGCTCGGTTATGTATCGGGCAATTTCTCGGTTAAGACATAGTTTGACCCTTAGATTGCAACATTTAGATTTTTTTTTTTTGATGTTCTATAAAAGTAATTAGGTTAAAAATTTAATTTAGTCTTTTATAATATATATTTTTTTAATTGTCTTATTTTAATTTTTTGTTTTAATTTGGTTTTAATAATTTAAATTATTGTAATTTGGGACTTCTCTCCAAATAATTTAGACGGAGTTAACTGTTGGCCAAGTGGATGCCAAATTTTTTTAATGCATCTAAAGTCAGAACGGCCCGTTCTGGTTGCATACTTGGTGTGTTAATTTTGCACCAGGAACGGGCTGTTCCAGATGCAAAATTAACACATCAAGAGTGCAACCAGAACTTAAGAAAGCAAGAAGACAATGTGGCATAGTCAACTACAGAAGCAGAGCTCATAGCTACTGCTGAAGCTGTTAATCAAGCTTTATGGTTGAGGAAAATTCTAGATGATCTACAAGTGGTTCAGACAAATCCAACTAAGGTATTTGTAGACAATCAAGCAGCAATTGCAATTTTAAAAATCCAATCTTTCATAGCAAGACTAAACACTTCAATGTTAAGCTGTATTATGTTAGAGATTTTTAGAAAAAAGATGATGTTGTGTTAGTATTGCAAGACAGAAGATCAATTGACAAACATCTTTACAAAGGCACTTCCAAAAGGAAAGTTTGAAAACTTGAAAGGGAAACTTGGAGTCAATAGCTACTGATACAAGGAGGAGTGTTAAGAATCTGAATCAACATCTATTATATGAGTTTATTTCAGATTAATGGAACATTATTAGAATTCCTACAGTTATGAATTTTAATTATAGGAATTATAAGTATTGTTACACTTTTATGAGTATTTACATTTGTCATTTATTTTATATTTATGAGTAGAATTTGTATCAGCTTGCAATTTTGTTTTGTGTATTTAAAAGTTGTAAGTATGAATAAAAATACATGAGTTTTAGCTTTCTAATTTTTCTAAATTCCTACATATACAAACAACATTAAAAAATTTCCTATAGAAACGGTACCCCTAAGGAAAAGCCAAAAAATATGAGAGTTCAAGCATCACATTGTTATCCAACGCCAGTACAGAACCTCTCCTGCCTCTCCATCAAATATAAACTTCAAATTCTTTTCCCCTTCATCTGCTCTACTGTAGTTGAATAACCAGTTGCACTGTTATCATTGACACAACCTTGATAGTTCCATCATTCATCAGTTTTGTTTTCAGTTAAATATGGTTCCTATTTTGGTTGAAGACTAATTAATAATGGTCATAGATAATAGGGTATATTCACCACAAGTATTTATGACATCTGCTTCTTCCTGCAGTGACAGTGCAAGCTCAAGCTGAACTTCAACTTCACCCATTGCTGGTCGCTCATTTGGATCAAACTTCAAGCATCTTTCTGTGATATCCATAAATACCTCCCAACACTCTGCTGCAATCTTTCCTTTCAGACTCGGATCAATATTCTCCTCAACAGGCTGCTTCTGCCTCTTCTCAACAACTTTTAGCTTGTCTTTGCATACCACTTCTAGTAGAACTACGCCAAAGGAGTAAACATCGCATTTATCTGTTAATGCATTGTTTTCTGAAATCTCGGGAGCCCCATAACCATATGTACCTATAAGTGGAAGTGTTTAATGAACATTACAGAAAATTATTTTCAATAAACTAGCCACAAAACAAGAATAAATACCTATAAAGCCATCTTTTGATATTGTCTTTGGTGTTGGCTTTGATGCATAATGTGGTCCTTTTAAGGAAACTCGCAAGTCTGAGAGTTTGGCCGCCATGTTGCTATCCAAAAGAATTTTATAAGGTGTTATGTCACGATGAAAGATGGTTCGCTTGGCACCTGTGTGAAGATAGTGTAGTCCACGTGCTGCTCCTATGCAGATCTTTAGCCTCTGCTTCCATGTTAGTGGTTCCATTTTCACATCACTACAATATAGGTGATCATGGAGAGATCCATTGGTCATGTACTCATATACAATATTCTTCTCGTCTTTGTGATCATAAAATCCAATTAGAGTGACCAAATTTGGATGACGAAGCTGGCAGAGTAACTCAATTTCGTTCTTGAACTGCTTAAGTTCTTTCTCTGTGCTCCCACATATTCGCATGATTGCAACTGTACTTTCACCATTGTGTTGGAGAGAACCCTTATATACAATACCAAGGTCTCCACTTCCAACTATTCGGTTTTCATCAAAGTTGTTGGTTGATTTTCTAAGATCGCCCAACAAAAATTGTTGACATAGCTCCTCTATCACTATTGGATACTGTCGTTGAGATGAACCCGTATGCTTCGAACAGCAGAAGCCCAAAGATTTTATAAATATCATCCCAACTTATACCTGTTTTGTTTTCATTCACAATAATATTCAACTTTCATTCTTCATAGACAATCTTATCTGAACTTTGCATCCTGAACATGAATGCTCATCTTTTTGAAACCAAAATTAAAAACATTAGAACGTATCTCTTAGGGGTGGAAAATTTGTGGGTAATTATGAATATACAAATTAAGAGGAAGTTATAGAGTAGCATTCTTAAGTGCAAACTTCATTACCCTATTTAATGATTTCAGGATTGTGGTCAGAAGGACTAGGTGTTAACCTACGGTTTGTTATTGACAAAGATACACTGCACTCAAGATGCTCTCCCACCTTGTTTTCTTTCCTTAGTTTTTACACTTTCCTTTTCAATCTAAGTCTGCTTCTGTACCAAAAAGTTAATCTGATTAGTTTTGATTTCACATATCCCTGCGTTTCATTTCAAAATGGAAAATAAAGGAAAGATAAGGAAAGTGCTTTTTTAATTCTCATATTTTGCGTATAACAATCAAACTTTATACAACTAGATCAAATTTAAAGTAGATACTGGACCATCTTCTATGCAAGTGATGTAAAACTAACATTAAACCAAAGAGGAAATATAGACACCCAAAATAATAAAATAAAATGAATTCAATGGTAGTTTGCATGTTTTAAGAACGAGAGAATATAGAGATGTTGAATATTACAAAAGATTACCCGGAGATGAAGGCAAGGCAGAAACAATACTTCAAACTTCTGTTCAG